ATAGTTCACCAAAAAAATAGAAAGTCTTGCAGTCAAGTTGTACCAAAATTGTTTCTTCCATGGAACAGAAAACAAATGTGCTTGTCCCTCTTTTTCATGCAAAAAATAAAATAAAAAAAATCACGACAGAAGGTTTCAAGCTTCAAAAAGAACACAAACACCTTAAAAATACTATATACTCATTAAGTAGTCCATGGTATTTGTACACTATTTTTGATCAGTCTCAAAGAACATCTCAAGTCACCAATCACACATCACTTATGAAGTCTTTGTCAATTTAAAATTTTAAACTTCAATTTGAAATTTAGTCTGTTGTGTCCTTTTTGAAAAATGTACAGTTCTTATGTGACTTCAATGAACGGAAAAGTCTGTTTTGTACATTGCCTTTTGTGTTTCACGCCAAAATCACATGCATTTGAAACAACATAAGAATAAGAACTAGATTCCAATACCATCCTTACATTGAATTTAACATTAATGATCATTTTCCATTGATAATCAAATGTCTCAAAAAGGCATTAAATATTAATATTAGTAATTCGTATATATTCTGTCATACAAAATGTTCTAATTGCCATTCAAAAGTGTTGTTTTTTTATGCATCAATCAAAAGTGACAATAAAGACAAGTATAGTGTTTCAAAAGATTTCTATTTCAAATAAATGCTGTTTTTAAACATTGTATTAATTAAAGAAAAAAACATTAGTGCAATGTTCATAAGAAATATTTTTTGAGCAGCAAATCAGCTAAAGGATTATGTGACACCAAAGAGTGGATTAATGATGCAGAAAATGTAGTTTTTTTCATCACAGGAATAAATTACATTCGATATATTTTTTTTTATGAAATAAACGAGCATAAGAGACTCTCAAAAATAATTTCAAAAATCTTACCAACTTTTGAATGGTAGTGTAATTGTATAGTCTTGTACTATTTGTTGAGCTAGCAGTGAGGCAGTAGGCTTATGTGATGACTGGCTCACATCTGTTTCAAGTGGTTCTATTAAAAATGCAGGTGGATAAAGGTGATATGCTTACAAATCCTCAGGAGGTTTGATGATATCTTTATTAGATCCCGTTCTCCTTGTGGACTCACGAATGCCATATGGAGCTGCATAAGGGAAACGAAAAACACTTGAAGCTTCAAACCCGTTAACGGTAACAAATAAAAAACAAAACAAATGTGACTTAATGGTGAAGTGTGTCATTTCTACGCCACTAAACGTACACGATTAAAAATCCAGCTTAAGCTACATTAGTAGTGGTGTTTTTTAGCTATACCATAATATTTTAACATAACAAATGACACTCTTCACCTTTAAAGCAAGGCCTTCAGTTTTGTAGGAACATACGGTCAGTAACAATGGCATCAAATAGTGGGTTTTTTCTCCAAACTGCTTTGGAAGCATCGGACACCATGACATCCACGTAGAGACTCTCATTCCCATACTGCCGCAGGTTTGCTCTGATGTTCTCATCTGGTCCTCTCCATTTCTGATCCTTCCTGCTGGCTTTTCCTGCAACAGATTTAAATGCTCAAAGGTGCACTCACAGAAAACTTACTGACTAAACCTACCAGGAGACAATTATAGTGAAGTCTTTAAAAAAACATACCAATTCCATGGATAGTGTTATAATCGATGTCTGTCCCACATACATAAGCCCCAAAGTGTGAACATGCTACCAGAAGACTACCTGCAAAACAAAAGAGGAACACAATGATCATGAGAGAATTAAATAAGTGGTCTCTGGAATATATCTGACTGTAGATCTTTATATTATGCTTGACGCTTTAAAGAGTATTTCCAGCCATCCAGAGAGTTTTCAACTAAATAAGCACATCTGGCCGGCAGACCTCAGTTCATGTGGTGACAATAGACTTATGATAAAGCCTGGCAACATCATGGCACGCTACAATTTTACAGTGCGCCTCGCTTTGGGAAAAACCCTGAGAAAGAAAAATGCCGCCCCATGCTGTTTAGAAAGTCAGCGATGCTTCGTTTGACTAATGACACTCGAAAGTGGTCCTTTCAAAGTCAAAAGAATAAGAGTAAAAGTGGGCCAACTGAGATTGAGAGATTGAAGTGAGAATTCTTGTGAGACATCACAAAAGATTATATAAAAATATGCTCCTGGATCCTGTTAGACGCAAATAAGAAACAGAATTATGATGGCACAAATCCTCAATCATCCAGACAGGCTGTCAGATGTGATTTCACTCCCATCTTCAACGAGACAAACAACTGCTTCAGTTTGGCCCGAAACGAAGTCTCGAAACCTTTCTGATTAACAACCTGCCAAACAAACAATCTACAAGACCTAAATGATTCATTTGCAGAATATAGATATCTGATGTGTTGGATGAGAAACTTATACAGTCACTGACAACTAGTATAAAAAGTAAAAGAATCTTCAATTTAAAGTCAATAAATAATTAAAAAGTAAAATAATTTTCTACCAAATGATGCAATTCAGTAACTGTAGGCTCTATAGGATTGACAAGTAAGATAACAAAGCAAAGAATAAAGTAATCTGGAAAATATTCATTTAATGTCTTGGTTAACATAGAATTCAAGCGATGGTAAATTAATACAGCGAGGATTCATTAAATCGATCAAGTGACCGTAAAGTCATTAAAGTTACAATAAAATTGTATTTGAACTTGTTTTCAACACTGATAATAATAAGAAATGTTGTACCAAATCAGCATATTAGAGGATCATGTGACACTGAAGACTGGAGTAACGCTGAAAATGCAGTTTTACCCCTGCAGTAATAAATAAAAAACAGTTATTTTAAACTATAATGATATTTTATAGCATGAAAACCTTCGAAATACCTTCGAAACCTGCTATCTGCACAGACTCTCACCTGTTCCAACAAAGGGATCGTAAACCAAATCATTAGCCTTTACTTTGGCATGATTGGCCATGATGAAAGAAAGGCCAGCGTCCATACTAGTGTTCCCGATGAAATGTCTCTTCTTCACACTGTGAGAGCGAATTAATTCTCTCTGACCATCTGCAATCTGAAGAGAAAACCTATTTAACATTTAAGAGTTGATACAGTACATCTTATTTTCAGCTTTAGTATTTGGGGCACAAATCAAGCATTTTGCAGATCCATACAATCATCAAATGTGAAGCCTAGCACACATCACTAAAGAAACATTCTGAAACATTACATATCTGGAAAGAGCTGCTCACCCATCTCCCAAAGTACAAATGGAAAGGATCCTCTGGGATGTTATTAGGATCAGAGCCATAATCCTCCAGCAAACAGAAAATATGTTCTGGATCCTTTAGATTGACCTTCCCTTCAAACGGCAGGAAGTCTAGAGCCTGTGTCAAAAATACATAATTATGGATTGTATGCTTTGAAATGCCTAAATCTGTGGCATACAAGCATGTAAAATACTTACATCAATCTTACTGATCCTGTCCTTAAATTCTAACGTTTTGTTGAAAGTGTAGACATTGATCTTATAAGTTGAATTCTGTTGTAGATATGGAGCCTGTGAAGAATTCATACAAGAGACAGTTTATTAAAAGATACACTCTGTAAATCTCAAGGACACATTGTACTTTACTGTGAGGGAAATGTGAACAAACCATGCTTTCTGCTGGATACGCCAACAATGACCTCCTCAACTCGTCTGTTGTTCTTCCATGACCCCAAAGTTCAAAAGCAGACCTTGAAATTTAAATCAATATTAAATTTAACACAAATCCAGCAATATAATAATTGTCACTGGATTTATTTTTTATCATAACTTATTTTATTTTACTAACACTTTACAATAAAGTTTCATTTGATAACGTCAGTTAATGCGTCAATCTTTGTTAATAAAAATACAATTGTTCTCTCTTTGTTCATGCAGGGTTGGAGTGCCTTTAAGGTTCTGACATAGGGTCAAAATGTAAAGGTAAATAAGTATCGCTGAGTAAATGGAATTAGATAAACATGTATAATAGTTTGTCATCGAAAGCATTTTAAATGTAATTTAAATAATAAAATATTACAACCTACTTGCCACAAACCGTTCTGGACATAACACTCCGTATATCATCTTCCGATAAGCCATTTAGTTGCCAAAAGGGGGACTTATGAGGAAAAAAGTTAGAATTGTTAGAAAAAAACAAAACAAAAAAAACTTAATGCAAAAAATCTTGTCAAGTAAAAAAAAACTAATTTAGCATTACCTTTTCTATGAATGATTCTGATGTATTAAATGACTGGTTCCTTAGAGACAGCAATGCTTTTATTTCCTGCAATCAATAATTCAAATTGCGATTCATGAATGTTTACCAAAACAGTTACAATTAACATAATTAATTATATAATACTGAACTGAGCTGTGCAAAAATAGTATGATTAACGAACTCATTAATTCAAAATACACTCTGACAGTTTAATCCAATAAGTAAGAATTTTGACACGAAGGTCTAAGTGTACTGAAGGTTTACAGTTTGTACCGGTAATCTAAAATCGACGTTATCATGTGCCAGATGAAGTAAATATTGTCTGCAGCACAGCCGACCAGCGTGGAGCGCCATGTTGGTGTGCAACATTCAACATCATCCGATGGGTATATTATGCCCGTAACAAACGTTCCTATGTGGCATCCCCGTGGCCCGTACGTAAATCGCCTGCGCGAAAATCTCCTAAAAGGATTAGATAGTTGCATTTTTCAATGCCTGTTTTAACCAAGTCATACCCATGAGTAAAATTAGGTAAATTGCCTATTTGCTCGACAGAACGGTCTCTTTATGAAAGCCGACTCATTTTCACCTGTTATTTTGGTTATAGTCTTTTTAGAAAATGGAAACGATTTAGTGTCACCTGATAATATCTTTTAATCTTATTTACACACTCATTAACTTCTTAAGGGGCTGAAATCTTCCCTGTCATTGGTTCATCATCTCTTACAGTGACATGATTGTCATGCTCTCATTGGTTAGTTTACAACGTCAATCACTCTCACAAGCGGTCAGAAAAGTATCCACTGCACAACTTGTATGCTTGTAATGTATCCACTTCCATCGCTGTTACAGCATGACAACCATTCACAAGAAGCCAAACAAGGGCGGTAAGGTGTAATAGCAGCCTACACTTAACGTTTGATGTATATATTTCGATGTCAAATAAATTTGTAAAAGGTTAAATTGTTAAACTAAGCTGTCATTAATCTTTACTGTGATGTAGATTCGTATTGTTGTATATGTGCATTGTATATTGTGCCGTTTTATGCAGGGCTGTGCGACCTTTAGAACAGAACTGAGAAAAAAATATCTCTAATGTCTATATTCCAGAATTATGAGAATTCTTATTTAAAAGAAAATCAGTTTCTCGATTTAAATAGAATTCGAACTGAGGTTGCAGAATTGTCTAAATATGAGGAAGTAGGCCTATTATTAAAATGTTTAATTAAAATTAAAATTATTCTTTTTTTTTCAGTATGAACATGAGATATTTCCATAAACAGTTCAAATGAATTGATGAACATATACTAATAATCAATCTTTGAAATGTCACGTATAAAAAATGTGAATTTAATATATTTATCATGTTATGTATCATTTGTCTTTTTTTCATCATTTATATTCATTATATATTATTTAGGTTTCATTAATTTCTATTTCAGTTTTAGTTTTTATTAATTAGTTGCTTCTTGTTTCAGTTAGTTGCAACATTTCTAATTTTCGTTTAGTTGATTTCAGCCCTATGTCAATGAACAAAAATGTTTTTAATATTTTTACGTTTGTACGTTTGAATGTTTTTACGTTTAATTAATGATATAACCTTGCCCTGGACATTTTTTCTTAAATTCCATAATGACAGTGCACACACTTGTGTGGTTCTACCTCAAATTTTGAGATCAGTATTTATTTTATAGTCTAAAACTATATTGATCGATCTTTACAGTATAGCTGAGTTTAAGTGCACAGACTAGTATTGATTACATTGGGTCAGTCTTACTTGTACTTCATGAGGCTTTAAGTTATTTAAGGCCTGTACGACATGCAATCTTCTCACTCACAGCCTTTGTTGTGCCAACAGTGAAGCATGCTGAATACTAGAGCCGTCCTGTGAGCCAAAGGTCACCATGGAGACGACGGACGAAGCACCTGCGCAGCGTAATGACGACAGGGCCGAGACCTGCACCGTGTCTGTCAAAGGTCTGACAGAGAACTGGCAGAAATGGTCCAACGACCACTGCGAGTATCAGAAACACAATCCCTTCAGCAACGGCAAGGTGATTCCCCCGCAGATCCAGCGAGGACAGGAGGGTTACGGCAGGCCTTTAGAGGGCTCTAAAACAGAGCAGAGGGGGAAAGACGCCCACTCCCACATCAGCAGAGAGGTCACTGAGCTCTGCCAGGTCATTCAGGAGATCGCAGAGAGCAGAGACGACGGCAGGCCGGCTGTGCGGTTCGGGACGCTGTTTGAGAGATACGTCACCATCTCTGATAAACTGGTGGGAGTTCTTCTGCGGGCACGCAAGCAAGCACTGGTGCACTTTGAAGGGGAGATGCTGTGGCAGGGGAGAGATGATGATGTTGTCATCACCTTGTTACAGTGATTTTACAGAAGTGATGGACACCACGTGCCTGCCTAAAAGTCAATATTACGGTCCAAAATTGCACTACAGGCATCCGTTTTACTTGAACAGGGGTTAGTTTTTGGCCAAAGAAACTATTGCTAATGAGATTGTTCACTTGAGTGTAATTCATTTAAATCTAGCAAACTGGTATATTCTGTTACCATTTCATGCTTTCAAAGTGGGTCATTTCTGAATTAGAAAAACACTGGTCTGTCATTGGTCAACCAAACAAGTAGCCCCGCCCCCATCTCATACCATTGCTTACACTTTTCAGTTCCTTGTCCAAAAAAAAACACCAACAAAAAAAAAAGTTGCCCATCAGCCCGGTTGAGTACTCTCCAGATAGAGGTCTAGTTAGGGGACCAACTTAGATTGGTTTAACAGGGAAACCTATAAATGACTTATTCTGGATATCTCTGCACACTAAAATGTGAAAGGATAGATTGTATTTTTTTAAATGCACTCTTTCACCTTTAAAGGGATAGTTCACCCAAAAAAGTTAATTTTGTCATTTATGCACCCTTAAGTTGTTCCAAACTTAAATGAATTTTTTTGTTCTGCTGAACACACACAAAAAAAAGAATGTCGGTAGCCAAACAATTGATGGCCCCCATTGAATTCCATTGAATTTTTTCTCTGTACTATTGCAGTCAATGGGGTCCATCAATTGTTTGTGTTCAGCAGGAGAAATAAATTCACACAGGTTTGAAACAACCTGAGAGTGAGAATTTTTGGGTGAACTATCCCTTTAAATGAACACCTCCAATAACATGCAACATTGTAGTGTTGAGAAGCCATAACACTCAAACCATAATCATATTTTTGCCATCACTTTGATGAACAGTGTTAAGGTACACAATGGTGTACTATTGAAAAAAAAGTTTTCTTTTTGTATGTTATTTTCTAATATGATGAATCACTTGCAAGGATACTACAAGTATTGTCTAGAAAATACATGTCTACTTTTGTGTATGGAGTTGCTTTGAATTTTGAAGCACAAAAAATATTAAAAAGCATAAAACAATTATGCAGGTTATTATTTATTTTATTTACATGCTTTCACACATAATACAGTGCGAATACAACTTTACATCACTTAATTAAATACATCTGAGGCATACATGTCTTCTGTCAAAATCTGTCATGGCATAAACAGGTAAATCATGCAGTACAGAATGACAAAACACTGCCGTATTCTGATGCTGAAATCATTCAGCAGTGGATTTGGGCAAAGCTAAATCCAATTATTAAGCGTAATTGACATTTTCAGCTCGTTCATATTTTAAAAAGTCTGTATCCTTAAAAAATCATTTTATTTGAGTAAGAAAGAAAGTCAAATCATTCACCGTAAAAGATTAATGATTCTATCAAGTTTATCAATGTCATTACTATTCAGCATGCTTTTTTTTTCTTTTTTGAAATCAATTCAAACATAGCTACAATTCTGTAGCTGCAAATTTGATTAGCCCGTATGGTAGACATAACCAACACTGAAAGTAGCATTAATGAGTATTATAACCCCGAGGCACTCGTCTGTGGCCTTTTGTAATCACAAACAGATTGACTTGGACTGTTGTTATGTGTAATATGGCTCTGGGCATCTCAAACATCAATTGTATTTTGAGTTCCTCTCACTTCCTTAGCTCATAGAGTTCAGATTTTGGAGTAACTGGTCTGCCTGCAATGTGAAAACAGACAAGAGTTAGCTATACATTTGGTTCAGTAACATGACGTGCATATTTTTGTGTCCAAGTGCAGTATTTCCTTTTAAAATATTTGACATGCATCACTTCGTTCTGTAAAACCTATTTGGTTCGAATTCATTTTCAGTACATTCAAATAATAAATATTATTTTATATTTTGGTATCTTAAACACCCAAAATGTCAGGTGGCTCAACCATCCCCACAAATAAACAGACTATAAGAAAACTATTTAAAATGGTGTTTTTTAATAATAGGAAATTCTAAATAGAAAATAACACATAATATTAAACATTTTGTTATGAATTGAGGTAATAACCATAAGCATGATAATGCATCATTACTTTGTTGTTATTCATCTCAAAACTGATTCGTGTATTTAACCAATGTCTGTAGAACTGGTAAGGCAGTCATTTCTCCACACAGATCCGTTCAGCCACATCTACTAGTGCTGGCAAAAACAAAAAAGGGATTCATCCCCTGCCATTGTAGCTTGTCCATTCTAATTTAATACAGTTTGCTTGTTCCAATTACAAGACAAAAGGTCTCATTCAAGAGGCGTAATAAATTGCTACGCTCAGAAAACATTTAGTCAGTTAATGCATCAATAACCTGCTCCAAGTGAATGTGATTATTATTTTTAGTGGATGTAATTTACTTGTGCACTTGGAGGATAGGGGGAATTTGATTGCTTACCGTGATGAACCAATATGAGTTTAGCCTGTAGACCAAGCGTGACATGAAGCCCATCTGACTGACGGGTGCGAGAACATGGAGATGCAGATGTGTGACAGTGGAGAAAGGAGGCCAGTGGAAGCCAAACCTTGGAAATATGATTGACATGTTGGCATAAATTGGCTTGTTACATGAACAAGGACTTGATTTTAGTATATGTGGCAAAGTATCAGATGTTTTATCCATTACCTAACATCATTTAAATCAGTTACATTGTTCTTCTGAAGAATCTCTTTCCCGATATCCACCATCTTCTCCACTAAAAAACACAAAAATCGATTATACACAGATGATTAGACTGCTTATTCAAATATGCACGTTGCAATATGTGTTACTAAATTGGGAATTGTGACTACTTGTAAATGGTAAAACTGACTCATTACTTCTGAATGTTTCTACAGAAAGGCTCTAGATTAGATCCTGTCACATATGTCTAAACATTTACACCAGTCTCTGATAAATTACAGCGTGTTTACCTAATGGCATATGCTCCTTTCTGAGAGATTTACAATTGCCCACATGTTTATTCGGCACAACCAGATAGTGATGAGGAGCTCCGGGGCGTATATCTCTGAAGCAGGATACAGTCTCATCCTGAAAATAGAAAGGTTTTACTTCAAATAATTAAATAAATAACAGTAATAGGGTCTTGTTTAATGTCTTTTTTGAGCACTTTTGCAACTTCTAATGTTTTAAAATGTGCAAAGTGAAATAAACGACAAAACATGTCTTGATTTATTGTAAAACCCCATCAAATTCATTTCAACATGCAGAATTTCTTTATTAGTAGTATCAATAAATAAATTGATGATGGCTGTGCAAATTAATCATTGCTATTTCAGGAGTAAAATTACTCTTTAGTAACTATGGAACTGTAGTAACCTTGATACATTTTTGTTGATGTTGTTGGTGACAAAGTTATAATGCAAGTAATCCTTTTATGAATTAAAGAGATGTCGGTGAATTTCTTCACGATTTCATGAAACATTTTGCATTGTGATCTTTAGCCTCATGATGAGGCTATAGAGGATCACAATAGAGGCCCTCATTGTCTGTCACACTTTACTATCTTTACTGTCACTTATTTGTTATCTTAGATAAAACACTGACAGCACACTTACATTGTGCAGGATCTCAGTTCCCATCTCCCTCTTCACGATTTTACAGAAAATACATTTTTGGTCATATCCACCTTCATCAGTCTTCCCTGTACCGCTCTCAGGTGTCGGTGTGTTTACGGCGGCTGCCATCTTCAAAGAACGTGAAGGCGGACTTAATTACATCACGAGCACGAGCATCACGTCATTTCAACCTGATTTCAACATACAAGTCCTCTGAGTTAGTTTTTTTAAAGTCAAGAAACCCTATACTGATCCCTTTGTCTAAAACGATTACATTAATGGGACAAATTGCTGTTTTCGAAATTAAATGATTGGGTGTTTTGTAAAATACATGATATTACATGGAAATATAATAGTTTGTGTTAAGTTAAAAGTTAAAAGCTTTTTTGTATCCATTATTAGAAAATAAGATACATATTTTAATTCAGATAGTGTCATCCAACAATGAGCAAATGACAAAGGTGAGGGAAAAAAATACACAATAACTGCCCAGTTTGTCAGAAAGGAAATCTTTATAAATACAGCAATATTTGTTAAAAGAATAAAAATAAAATCTTCAAATTTTCCACTGAGTTCTTCATTACCTGATGTGAATGTCAAAATCACCCAGCAGTGAATACAAAAGAAACACTGCGCATAGATTTAATCATATTTATGTTCATGCTTCATTTATAAGGATTGTAATCAAATTTATTCAGTTCATAGTCACTGTGAATTTATATTCTGATCAAATCAGAAGAATATCCACACTTCTTGAAATATAATTTCTGAGTTTAGGAAATTCTATTCAGCTCTGTGTATATGTTTCAAGCAATTTAGAATATTTTATTCGCGTGATATTGTCAGAACCTATATTTATTCAATAGCTTTGGTTTCACCATTATTTCTTTTTAATGGTTAAAAAATCCTCATTTTTCCTCTTGTTCTTTTGTTTATGACCACAAAACACTTAAGACTGTCTCACCAAAAAGGGATCATTTAGACAGATTTACAGCTTTTTGTATAGATACTCACAATATTTTCCATTCAGCTCTCTGCAGTATTACAAATTTCTAAGCTTCTAGCTATTTAGAATATTTTTTCATATATTGTCTGGATGAGTTTATAGCTTTGTTTCACTTTGTTTCACTCTCTTTCCTTGTTTTTGTTTTTAAAAAGTATAACCACAACTTAAAACCTAAAATACTATAGTCTCAGCCAATTAACAAAGTGCTGTTACAAAAATGTAAGTTGAACTTGTTTTAACCAACAGCATGTCACCAATGTTTTAGGTTGGCTTTTAAGTTGTATTGAAGCTGAACATTTATTTTAATTTATACAACTGTATTTAATTAGTTGGGCATCTCAAACAGCAATTCGGCAGAGACACAGCTGTGGTATTCTTTATTTATGTTTAAAAAAATTCTATTACACTGTCATCTAGCAGCCAGCGCAGCAGTTTTGGAGAAAAATCTCCCTGCAGAACAACTCAGACGAAGCTCCCGACCGGTTAAAAGTTACTAATCAAGAGAGGCGGAAAGGATAAGTGAGTGACAACACACTATGTTAAACTGCTCTGTTTAGCGGGTCAGCCGAGCAATTAATCCTGAGCACTCCAATATGCCAGGATGCCACATTTACCCCCTTAATGTATGCAAATGATGTCATTAAAATGCATGTTCATGTTTAGTCTCTAAATTAAGAGCTCATTTGCACTTCCAACAATCCAGAGATTCATTATTACAAATTACAAAAATAATAATGACTCAAGACATCAAATTTACTCTCCTTGTACACCCTCCCCTATTTACATTTTGAATGTGAAAATAATTTATGTGACAATCAACAATTTGCAGCCACTGTATTGGAGGTTGTCAGCTGGCCAAAGCTATTATGCTATCTCTTGTTATGCGGCTCTATATGATAAATAATGTGCCAGTAGATGACTGTACGCAATTACAGTCAGCTATGGTATTGTAGGAATGCAAAGGATTGCAAAAAATATATATAAATAAATAAATAAATAAATAAATAAATAAATAAATAAATAAATAAAAAACAGAATTGCTGATAACTGAGAGGACTGGCAAATGTGGGACATAGAAGATGATCGTGATGTGAATGGAAAATACAAACGCCTCAGAAATAACCGGGAAAATATGAAGTTAAGCACTGGCAACAAACAACGGATCTCTAAATGATTCATGACCAAAATATCAACTCCAGCATTGAGGAAGTCAATGTTTTGTCCTGAAGAGGTTGTAGAATTATTCATGAGGCACCGGCTTTGTAAATAGATCCTGTTGATTAAAATGGAGGAAGTTGGGGGGTGGTGACAACTACAACTCATGTATCTCTGAGAGAGAGAGAGAGAGAGAGAGAGAGAGAGAGAGAGAGAGAGAGAGAGAGAGAGAGAGAGAGAGAGAGAGAGAGAGAGAGAGAGAGAAAGAGAGAGAGAGAGAGAGAGAGAGAGAGAGAGAGAGAGAGAGAGAGAGAAAGAGAGAGAGAGAGAGAGAGAGAGAGAGAGAGAGAGATACATGAAGGGAAAATATTCAGTTTCTTTAATCATGTACTGCCCTACTTCCAACTTCCTCTTTCATTCTGTATACGTCCCGCTGAGATGACTGCCATTGCTACTGGTCACCGTCACGCTTGGCTTTATAAATGTGAAATCAGCCTTTGTATTTTTATGAAATTAAATGTCTACGCCTTAACAAATAACATGCTAGAGAGGTTAAGAGGCACTTTTATGAGAAATATACTCTGCTTTCTTTGACTTTTCACCTCTGCTTGTTTCTGTATTTGCTGCCCGCAATCCAAATTCCGTAATGTGACATATTGCAAATGCAAACAAAAAGTTTGCTAAAGCAATGCCTAAATAGCTATTTGGATATTGGTTTACATGATCTGACAGCCTGTGTATGCGGCCTAATATATATTCTGTATATACCCGAGTGAAAAGAAGGAAAAAATTTTACACCCTAAAAATGCTGGGTTGTTTTAACCCAACTTTGGGTCAAATATGGACAAACCCAAACGTTGGGTTAAAAATCTAAAAATTTTGACCCAATGGCTGGGTTTGTCCATATTTGACGCAAAGTTTGGTTAAAACAACCCAGCATTTTTAGAGTGTAGCATTAATGCACTTTAGTTATCGGGAAATAGTGCTGAGGTCCAACTATGATACAATTATGTATATTTGATTGGGCTAAAATGGTACAATTGCAAATATAAAATCTCTTGCATTTAAAGACTGATATTATACAGAGATCATAGGCCTACTCTCCTACTAATAGTGATATTAAAACACATTTTAGGCTTAATATTAAGAAATGTGCATTGTGCAATAAAGAAGTACTCTAAATAAAGTTGAATTGTAATATTTATAAGTCTCAAGCGATAAGTTAGATTTGTTGAGCTCCAAATCAGCATATTAAAAAGATTTCTGAAGGATCATGTGACACTGGAGACTGGAGTAATGATGCTGAAAATTGCTCACCAATATATAGGCCTGTCTATTAAAAATAATTGGTTTCAAAGTAATTAATAATTAATGTAATTAATATATAATGACTTATTTTGAAACCGTGCACTGATGAATGCAGCTAACGACATGGAGTCTGATAACACCAACAAATGACCTGCTTCCAGAACAACACACACTCCAACACAAACAACACATAAATATAAAAATGCTGAAACTCGTCAGGCCAAATGTGAATCGGATCGACGAAAACACGGATCAACACCGGCAGAGCGTTTGAATTATGGAGACTTCCGCTATTTTTATTGTGATACATTACTAATAAATTCTTGATTTCTGTGCATTTGCTTCTGAGCTTTTGTGGTGGAGAAGGACCTGCAAGGAAAGATGATGGCAGCATTTGTTGGGAAAAAAGGTTTTAGGGATTTTACTCAAATATTAAGGTCATTTTTGTTATTTTTAATATATAAATCAAATGACATTGTGCTGTTAAAATGACTGCTTTTGTATGTTTGTGCATTTTTGTAGGACCTGAATCTGCAGACTGGTGTGAGCACTGAGGATGAGGAACCCAGAGCTGAATCCTGGAAGTGGTGCCATGGATGAGACCCTTCATCTCTTCATCTGCCCTTACGAGACCCTCATATCGCTCCATCTGCCCTTATTGCAGATTGTAAAGCGCAGCACAGCAACAAGCTCTGGCACAAAGGCACAGTAAAAATCAGAATAAATCCACAGAATGGGAACCGCTGTGTTGAGATGGCAGTAGGATGTCGGGTTCAGCGCATGCATACATGCTTGTATATAGTTTAAATAAAGCTTTGTTTCATGTGTTCTTGACTTGTATATGCATTTGTTTATTGTGATGGTTACTTTTATTTGTTCTTTTACTAATTTATTCATGTTTCTTATTGTTGTCAATATATAAAATATAATTATTTAATTAATGTATACAGTAATTCATTGCTTGACTGACAATGGAGATGTTTCAATGGAGATGTTTTTAAGCATTTAATATTATTATTTTGTTTAAGTTTTGGGGTGGGCTAACAATGCAATTCATTTTGAGGTATTATTATTATTTTTTTTTTTCGAATATAAAATCAGTTTTCTCTAAATGTGAGATCTTCGAGCAGCTGACAATCTCCTTTGTGCAGACATTACAAAGGGAAAACTGCTCTGCTGTCGAGTTACTGGGTTATGAAGTGTGTAAGTGCACCTGTTGCTCATATAATTAAACTTATAAACTTATACAAGATCATGGAAAGATACCATATATCTAACACAATCATAATGACAAAACAGAAAACAAAGTTCATTGGTTTACATCATAATATGATATTTATACATAGAAAAAAAAGAACAATAAAACGCTAAAGTTCTTCATAATACATTAAAAAATGTTGTTATAAGTCTAAGGGGTTAAATGAGAGGTAAATTGGAAAAAGGAAAATTTAACTTAAAACTTTTTGGGTATAAAATTAAGAAATTAACAAAATATTCAAGAGATAACGATTTGGAGGTTTCTTAATACAAAATTATATTGTTATAGGATAAAACTGTGGGTCACATTAGTAGGGTTTATCACGCTTGTGATAACGCGTAGTAGGTCAAATGATAATGTCAACATGGCAGATTTTTGGCGTATAAATACCACGATAAATGCTAGCCTAGATACGCATCTTCATGAGA